AACCCAGGAATTAATATTGATTTGGAATAAAATATAACAAAGTTTTGAAGTAATATACGTATCCAACATTAGTAGAACTTCCATTGAACCATCAAATTATTCTGCATTTTCACATTTTAGGTAGATACCAGAGCAAAAATTCAAATTCCTCAAATTTAATTACAGCTCTAAAAATATCCTTATTCAAATCTAATCTAATTAACGAAACTTTCTTAATCGATATCGGATTAAATTGTCAGAGTTCCTGAAAGTATTACATTTAACTTTCAGGGTGATATTTCAAACTCTAATTGCTCCCTACTGAAACCATATAAAGTTTTTTAATGGCCAACCAACTTGCTCGGAAAGTTTTAAAGTGAATATAAACATTTTCACTTCCAACGCATCGACATAAACTGCTTTGTTTTCAAGCTTTTCCAGTAAACGTTCATCCTTCCAGACTCAGCTACTTAAGCCAAATTAATATGGCAGCAACGTTTCTTGTTGAAAGTCTTCATGACAGGGCTGATGTATTACTTATGTGATTTATTATTCTACAGTAAATGTGCGAGATTTATGAATTGCCCTTTTGCAGCTAATCTGTTTCCAAAAACGAGAAATGGGTTTCTATTATTAATAATCCACCAATTGAAAGTTCAATAATGTTGCCGCGATCGATCAAATTTCAAGTTTAGTAAATCGCTCTTATAGCTCTCGTAGTAGTCATTTAAAAATGATTAAAGCAAGTGTAAATTTAGCGATGTATTCTAGAAAGACAATAAGCACAGCCTTAGTTTAAGTACTGAAATTGTCGCCTTAAGAATAAAAAAGTGATATTGTCGACTTTATTTCAACTACTTCTAAAGAGTGTAGAAACAGCCGTTTAGAAACTCGAAAACTGCTGTTCAAATTGCCTTGTTCTAATAGTTAAGATGACAAAATATGGCAAATTTTATCTTGCTTTTTAAAAACTATTTTCTTGATATCCACACAGAATTATTAAGGGTAAAGTTTGGCTGAGTCAGCTTTGAGCAGTCACAAAAAATTGCTTAGATTCGTTCTATTTATTAAAGTTCTTTTAATTCCTATTGACTTGAGATGTAGTCTTGAAATTTAATTCTTGGGACAATGTATGGTTTCAAAATAAATTATTAGTAATAATTTATTACAAAAGTAATTTAAATTTTACATTAATAAAATATATAATTTTTGTCAGATTAATTGATGCTAACTAAACGTAATAATTGGGTCCATTCAATATCCAAAAAAATGTAAGTGGAAAGGATCGAATCCAATAAACAAGGAGCGAATGGATTGAAAAATTTATTTAACCTATTTAACATCAAGTACACCATTTAGTGGGTTAACTTATAATTTCACTTTATTTCTATATTTATATAACACTACAACTTTTAAGTCTCGGAAAACTGGATTACAATTTTTCGCTGATGTTATTTGATTAAAATTGAGAACATTTTTACCGGTGTTCTATCATTTCAAAGTGAATTTATGAATTGTTCAACATTGGAAGCTGTTCGATTAATTGAAAAAACTGAACTGAAACAAAGCAAAATAAGGTCAGTACCAAATAAACCTTTATAGAATCCTAAACCAAATTGTGGTATACACTATCCATTAAATTGCGATCGATTCCTGATTGACTATTAAAATATCGTGGTCCATTTACCATCTTTTACCTTTATCATTTTTATATAAAATTAATTTAATTATCGGTTTTTAAATTTTAAACCCGATCAGGCAAACCTTAAAGCGAGATCAGGCAAACCTTAGAGTTTAAATTTCCTTAAAGGAAATAATTCTTAATTATCTCACAAATTTCATTATCTTAAAGTGTAGATTACATTTTGGCGTATTCCTTTCTATAAATTGCATTCTGCTGTCCTGAATAAGCTTCCTTTGTCCCTTATTGGAAAACTTTGGTACGTTCCGTTAAGTTCTTTTAAGATTCTATAGTTCAATTAACGCCATAATTTAAAATTTAGATAATAACTCCAGCTATTTGGCTGGAACTTCGGCAAATTATTTCATAGGATTTGCTTAGAGGAATATTGCATTTTCACTTTCAGAGAAATGTGATCGTAAGTATTTGTAGTAATCATTTTTGTTTTGTTGTGAACGAAATCTCTGGGCAACTCAAATCCGTTAATCCATTTGACGTGTTGGCTAATCCTGATGGAGGAAATGGACAGAAATAAAAGTCTAATCTCAGACAAAAGTTTCCTAATGAAAAGCGTTAAACAACTCGAAAACAGACCGAGGGACTCGACCAGGGTGGTAGCAGCCCACTTAAAACTTAAAAAAGAACAACACAAACCAAAAATAAAGAAATGAAATTGATTTTGGCATTTGGCTGCAAGAAAAATATTTTACAATATTGTTAAAATTAATGTTATCGAGAATCTAAAAAATAGACCTCAAATAGAATTAAACTTAAGCATCGGACGCAGTTAAAGTGAAGAGTCGATGTGGGTGAAATTGGATTGTTTTCTTCAGGTAATAAAGGCAATCTCAGGACCATTTCTTTTAATAAACCATTTATTTCCACGTGAATCTATTTATTCGTTATAAGGCCGAACGAGTTTATAGTTCTAAGTAATCATTTTATTTTTATGAAGTAAAGTAGCTGAAAATCTGCGAAAACGGACTTTTGTTGTTAAACCGCCCTCGTTAACGGCACCGTCAATCGTCCAAGTTAGTGAACATTTGCCAGAAAGTTTAGTTTCCACGTTATTTGACGATGTACACGTTATTCGGGAAATTGTTTGTGTTTGTCTTGAACCATTTGCGTGATTTCGGGGAACGTCATTTAAAAGTTACTGTTTTGCTTGTTTTTGTCCGTCTATTAGATAATAAAATTAGTGAACTGAGAGCGTTAATTACAACGAACAGCTGTTAATCAATGTTATTTTATTTAGCATAATTCATGTAAAATGTTGAAAACTTTAAGACTATCGATTTTTGCGTGACATACAAATAAAAGAAACTTGTCTTCAAAAAGGTTCTGCAATATATTTTAGAGGGTTTAGTAGGCGATAATAATTTCTATTTACCAGCAGATTAAGTATCTATTCTGTCGCTTTTTCAGATGTTCAAGTTCCTGAAGCCGTCCTGAGTTTTCCTCAGGTCAATAGGGAACACATGGGAAAATATCTCTGCATTGCTGATAATGGAATCCCGCCTCCAGCTAATCATACCTTTCATCTGGAAGTGACTTGTGAGTGAATCAGAGTTTTAGGGGACTTTTCAATGCAAGTGGAGTAATTCTCCTGGGGCAATCCATTCCATCAGAGCAGCTTTTGTTGCCAACATAGCTTCTTACAATTGTTAGAAGTGATAGCCTTTTACAATTATAATTAAAATAAGTGTCACACGATTTGAAATATTGGCAAAGTTTCTTCTGACTTAACCAGCAGTTTGATTTAGTAGTGCTAAAGAACTTAGATCCAAAATGGTCTTGTGGTTACCCAATCAATTCGTAATGGTGCAAAAATATTAGAAAACTCTGCAATTTTTAGCTGGAAAAATTTGCTTGGTTAAGAAACGCATAATCTGAACTGATTTCGGTTTCTCTAACACGTAAATCGAGAATAATGAAATTGAAATGCGCCCTTATATATACATATGTAAATATCAATTTCCAGTTGGAACAATGCAAAAACATATGTGTTTTATGTATTTCATTATGTTAGTCCTATTATGCTATAATAAATTAATTTTGCTGTATAGTTCCTCCACTTATCAGTATAGAAGACCAGATGGTTGGTGTAGCAAACGGTTCGACTGCTGTTCTCGAATGTTCAATTGAAGCGTTCCCAGAACCAATTCGGTAAGTTGAAAATTATCATTTTGATCAAAAACCAGAAATTTAAGTCGGAATAATAAATGGTACCAAACTATATGTAAAATATATAATGGTCTGAAAAAAGTGCAGATTAAACCAACATCACTGTCTTAAGTAAAACCCCGCTATATCTACTTAGGTTTTTAGAACAGTTTTTTAGAAAAGCATTTTAGATATTTTTTCGCGAATTGAAATAGAGAATCGTTCAATTTAAAATTAAAAATCGCAAGCCTTTGAATCTGCCCTGTCGATTCAGCAGGGTTAAAGCGCCGTTGGTCCGCTGCGAACAATTTGTTTGGTCATAAATTTCATGTTTTGCAATATTTCATTTAAATATTAACACAGGGTGTTCCGTAAGCACATAATCAAAAGGGAACAGCTATAGGAACAGCTTTGGATCAATAGAAGAAGATCTGATCTAAGTTTTGCCACGAAAAAATCGGCTGGCTCCTCTTCAAATAATGGTCAAAGTTTTTCAAAATTAACTTTTTTTAAAAAAGCCCAAGAATGCTCTCTCAAAATTTTTTTTTATAATTTTAGCTACCAAATAAAAGCATTCAAAAAGCAAATTCATAAATGTCTGATCACTCAAATACTGCTTACCATTCTCCTGATATTTACAAAAAACATATTTTTTCAAGAACATTTAAAATCAGAGAACCGCAGAGAAGGCGGACAGTTTTTGCGTTAATAGAAGTTAGTTCATATGGTCTTCGCTTTATCCAAAGAATGTCTCAGTGCCCTTTTAATTATGTGCTTACGGGACACCTTGCATAATAAAAACAGAAACATGTCTCGCATATTCTAGATTTAGAATATATTCCCAGAAGGAAAATTATATTTGCGTAAGTCTAGATCGTAAGACGTATCGTTTATACAACGAGCTTTCTTGCTCGGTTTATACTTTCATTTTTATCAGTGTGGTAATTTTTATAAAAAACTGTTAGATAACTTTTTCACCATTGTTCTGATGAAATCAACTTTACCCAAACTGCCATAAAAAGTATAATGATTTTCACAAAAATAACTGTTATATGTTACTTTGATTTAAAACCGCCATACTGATACTTATTATATGTCGTCTACTGATTAATCGGAAGGCACTAAGCATTCTACACGTAAAAACAAATACATTTTGCAAGTTTTCTGGGTCGTTATTAAAGAGTCGGACAAAATCAAAAGCAAATAATTTTAATTAGAAATGAGTCAAAATTACATTTAAAATTAATGGATTTTGCGAATGCTACTGCATGTTCGATTATTTTACAGTTGTCTCTGTATAGTTAACAGCAGCATTCAAATTTGGATATGAATTTTACATGAAAGCAAAAACAGGCTCTCAGTGCTATTTTAATGTGAATACAATTTCACTATTAAATTAATATAAACTTCAAAAACATTTGAGGTACCATCAACTCTTGATCCATCTTCATTTAGCTTCGCTTGCAAGTGTTTTTTGAATGTTATTTGAAATGTTTCCGTGTTCTTTCAGCTATTGGGAACGATCGGATGGTAGACTATTGGAAAATGGCGATAAGTTCCGAATAGACAACTCAAAGGTAAAATCTGGATATAAATCCCGCATGCAGCTGAATATATCGCGTGTAACACATCACGACAGGCAGTATCTTTATTATTGTGTGAGCAAGAACGAGTTTCAATTGACAAGAGGAGAATTCAAGCTTTACGGTAAGCAAACATTTTGAATGCATTTTAACATCGTACAACTCACTCATGCGGAGTTTAAAATCTGGTGAGGTAAAACAGTACAATTTTCCAATTTACTCAAAAAGCGAATTGTAGGCAGCTAACCAATGCTTTCATGCATATACACGGTTATTCAGATTACACGGCGCGGAAGATTGAAGCTAAACTATTAATTTTTTTAGAATCATCCTTTTATGGATAACTGGATGAGCGCCGGAGGTCCATTTTATTTTATTTTTCTAATGAACGAATCTTAGTAACTAAATTCAACACAAAGTTGCATTTTTTAAATGGAATACCCGGCTAATTATTATGTTATTAGTGTTTACGACCGAAATTAATGCGAATAAGTCATGAAATAAAAATGGAAAATTATTCCAAATAATTTTTCGAAATTAGTTGCAATTTGACATGTCTTTTTGAACAAATTGGTTCTTTTACATTGGAATCAAATTGATTTGATCCTTTCTTAAGATTATTTTTTTGTTGGTTTTTCAACCATTGTTATAGCAGAACTGCAAGGTTTTCTTCTTTTTTTTCTGAGCGAACGACTAACGTCACATATTTTTTCTTGGATTTTTGGAAGCACATAACTTTTACTGATTATTTGATTTACGAAAATAAGGCAAACGCTATTGTTGCATTTTAAGAAAAATATTCCCGTTCTTCTTAAAACGCAATGTTTTGGAGATGAAATTCTGACTAGAATTGAATGCATATGCAGATTAATATGAAACTTTAGATATTCATCGCAGTCCGCGGATGTTCTGACTAACCAAATTATTTAACTTTTTTAATAGGTCTACTAATTTAATAATATATTAACACATTTTGAGGCAATGAAATTGTGGAAACAATTTTAAAGTCTGGAAATAAATGGCAACATTTTGACTCACTTTTTGTGAGACGGGGTAATATAATTTTGTTGACTTTGTTTCTGGACTATGTAGATATATTTGCCTATGCCTAGTCATCATGATCAGTAATTTCAGCTTTGGTTTCCATATTTTGTTCTGAACAAAACATTATTCCTTTCAGAAATCGATCCCAGAGACTCACTATCAAGTCGAAATAGCTCACAAAGAAGGACTTTCGGTATACAACCACCCGGAAAAGTAGCATTAGAGGATCTGTGCACGCCTCCCACCCCATGCCCGAAATGCGAGCCCAAAGAAGTCACTTGCAGTGCAGCTGGTGTAAATCTTCTCGATTTAATAAGCCAATGGAGAGTGCGACCTTATGGAGATATCAAGTATTCAATGGCAAATCTATCAAGATCCATAGGTAAAACGATGTCTAACCGTTTTCATTTGAAGTTGCTCTCAAATCTATTGTTTAATTTTAAATCCTCTCTAATTCAAAGAAGCCAATTCCTGTGTAAATTCAGAAAATTAGTTGACCACTGAAGCAAAACGCTCTTTCTTTCCAGATTGTGTGCTCTATGCAGTAGGAAAACCAGTTTTCAATAGATTTTCCGATTTTACTTATGGATGTTGGATGACTGATGCGCATCCAGAATCCCGACCGGGCTACTTCTGGGTGACAAATGAAACCAGCTCTAATGAACTGATTGAGTACAAAAATAAATCCGCATACAGACAAAATATTCCGTCGAAGTAATTGGAAAACAGGAAATTAGTAGAAAGCAGAGAATGTAAGATTGTATTAATTTCAGTGTGTATAGGCTGGACCATCCTTTCAGCGGAAATGCCCATGTAGTTTACAACGGTTCCTTTTTCTACAACGTTAAAGGCACCAGAAGAATACTCAAATATAATCTATCGAATAAAAATACCATTTCACTAGATCTTCCCGGTAATATGAACGATATTTCAAAGCTATATTCAGGCCAGTATAACTATGTGGACTTCTGCGTGGATGAGAATGGTTTGTGGTTGATTTTTGCAGTTCCAGACTCCAACAATACCGCAGTCATGAAGGTAAGTAACGGCTTTGGAGATTTTCGATTTTCATTACTTGGCTTTCAGGTGGATATTGAAAGAATGACACCGCAATACATATGGAACATGACTATCGATCATCACAAAGTTGGTGAAATGTTCATAGTGTGTGGTGTTCTCTATGCTGTAGACAATGTGTCTGATAGGCAAAGTAGAATTCGGTTCGCTTTCGATTTGTACAAGAGTAAGCTGATAGATGTTAGCTTGCAATTCAACAATCCTTTCAGAAAAACTACCATGATCAGCTATAATCACAAATCAAAGGTATTTTTCATATGGATGGCATATTAGAGTCTTAAAATCAAAGTGGAAAAATTGGTACAGTTTTAGTTATTTGCACACATATTGAGCGATTTTTAAGAGAAGTCTGAAAACAGACTTTGTGTGACAGTTATTATTTTCATCGACTTTCATATTTGGACTTTCGCACAATTTCTTATACCTGCGACAATCTTTCGGTCGTGCAATGTTTTGTGTATTTTCTTAATGCGCCTTGTTTGCTCCGTTTCTATTATAGGCTARATAACTCTTCCTTGTCTCACTTGTATCTTCTTTTCCTATCACAAAAATTTTATTTTTTTTTGGGTTTAGAACTAGGAAACTTGGAAGAAGAAACTTAGGAAAAACCCTAAAGTATCACAATAATTTCTATATGTTGTGCTCTCTACTTTACGCGTTTGTAATATCAATATAACAGTTTTTGACAACTTTTGAAAACAGTAATTGAGAGCAGCAATTAGAAGAACCTAATGTGAAACCAACAGATTAGAGATAAAACTGTGAAAACTAACTCTGAGCCTGGAAGAAGCTAGAGAAAAGGCAGAAACGATCCAAGACACAACGAATAGGAAATCCGAATGTGAAAAAAGTGATAGATGACAAGAAACTGTTGCATCAGACTATTTAACGAAAACAATCACGTGAAGGGTAACTCATAACTGTGAATTCCAACAAATTATACAAAGTTGAGAATTAGCGTTAGACAAACAGTAAAATTTCGGTTGAGTTCAGCCTAAATGTTACAAATAGTTGACCGACTTCAAATCACTTTAACGGCGCTACAAGAAACACACCAGGAAAACTTGCCGGTAACTTCAGTGACACTCATAAAAACGTAACTTGGAAGTGAACATATGCTTATGCGTTACACGATTTTTCGGTAAAAATATAAAAAGGAGTGTTCAGTCTCGTTTCAACCTTAAATTACATAATAAATGTTTGTCTGAGTTTTAGGAAAAAAGGTCATTTGGGTTTTCTAGATGATGGTTAATTTAACATGCAGTAAAAATGATTTGCAGATTTCATTTACTTTCTATGCTATTAAATTTTACGTTCATTTGTACTATATACAGGGTGTCCCAAAAGTAATGGCACAAAACAAAATGTTGGATTCCTGGGGTGAAAATATGATGATTTAACACAACTTACCTGTTGCACATACAGGGCGTCAAAGTTACATTTTAATTTCAGTTTTTCGTTATTCTACTTTGAACGGAGCTGCATATTTTAACGAAATTTGGTATACAGGGGTTTTTGAGCATAAGAAATCCAAGTCTATCATCAGATTTTGATCAACTTCTAGGAAAAACCACTTACGGCGATATCTGGGCAAAAAAATTGCTTCAACTTTTTGTGTTCTGACTTCTAAGTTGGTTGGGTCTAATCGCCTATTCATTTTGGACAAAAAGGGTATTCTTAGTCGACGTCCCAACAAGCCTTTGTGTCCGAGATATTTGCGATTACACCGCAAATTGCAGTATTTTCAAAAAAAAAGAATATTTGAAAAAATATAATCTATCGATTGCTTTTTACTAAACATCATTTTTTAACAGTAGCATCATCAGTAGGGAAACATTCATTTTCTACAGCAATTCCTCAAATATCCCTCGTTAACTTTAATACATTTTGAAATGCGTTTATTGAGGAATCGTCTAATTTAAAAAAACACATTTTCATTTCGAAATACATAATTTTACACAGTACGACACACACTTTATTGAGGCTTATCCTTATGTAGGATTTATAGAGTTATAAATTAAATACTATAACAAAATGCTGTTTTTAGCACAAAAAAAGCATTTTAAAACGTTACGTGTTTTACTTGCAGAAAATTGAATATTTGCAAAATAAGTACCTAGGTAACTAAATGATGTAAAAAGTATGAAAAGTTCAAAACTGCCAGAAAATTAAGAAAATATCAACAGTTAACATAACATACGTTTATAACGTTTCAAAAAACCGCTGGAAAAAATCCGTAAAAAGCGATATGAAAATCTCTTTCATAACACATGCGAGCAACATAAATGTTGTCAAAGAAAAACTACAACCCTGGTTGCCATCTACTTCTTCAAAATATCACGCTGTCCGGATTCAGACCCTGAAGTTTCCTAAAAGCCCGATTTTTCCTTTAAAAACCTTTAGAACAGCTGCATGTTTGGTTATAAGCCACTTACAGCCTGAAGGGCGCTAGACAGCATCAAAAACTGGAATAGTCGGACGGATCCAATCCTAACAGGAATGTTCGTGAAACATAATTTGATCAACGATTGAAATTTAGAAAAACAGCGCTAAATCTAAATTAGCGGGCCAGGATCATATGGCGCTATCCGCTAGACCATCACAAAGTAATAATTAAGATGTACTTACCTTTAGTCACTTAAGTCTGGATTCTGGGTATTATTATTATTAACTTTCAAAGCAGCAAAAATTGTCTTTGTCTCGAAGATAATTAAGAGTGTTCGCAGCAGAACTTCCCTATTTGACCGTGGGACCCCTGACTATTTAAATTTAAAAAACCGAACGAAAAAATGTTTAAAATTTGTAAAACTGCGCAAAACCCTACTGCGATTTCAAGAACCATTTCGTTTGGGTGTAATTCAAAGCAGCAAAACACCAATAATTTATTCTAAATACCTTATACCACGACAAAAAAGTTCCAAGTAGAACGATACTGATTTTACATTTAAACTATAAAAGTGCATATAAAAACTAAAAACATTTGAAAAACCCGATTCAGAATTCAGAAACTCCCTCGATGTTCTGCGCTAAATAAATATGGCATGCAATAATATAATAAAAGACAAGCCAACAATATGGGACTAACAGTTCTACAACTATATGGCCACTAGGGGCAAAGTAATGCCAAACTTACCAAAAGCTGAATTGTGCTACCTGAAAAAAAAAGAGAAAATGTGTTTAGTACAGCAGGAAACCTGTCTCAAACCAATTATGGAAAATAAGAAAACAAAAAAACAACGCAAAAAACTTCACTTGCTTTTCGAAAAAAATGAAGCAGCAAGCCAGGTAATTCAGAGATTCGAGATCATTCTTACCTTTTGAAAGCTGGAGCCTTTATCCGTTTTATACCCATTAATCCCTAAGTTCATACTACACTTGATAACACAATGAAAATGCACTTGAAAACTAATATTATTCTAAATTTCTCATTTAACAACGCGATTCACACGATACCGAAAACTGCCGATGTATTGCCTGTACTAAAGTGATGATTCCTACAAGTTTTAGAAAAAACTTATGATATACAGCATCAACATGATGAAATAACCTTTTGCTTGATGGCCCTTTGGAGAACTATTTTGTAGAAAGTGCCTGTTCGCACGGCGATATTTACAATAAAAAAAAGTTATGTTCCAACTCCTTTGGATTGGCGCCGTAAGCAAAACAACTTTATCAGCCAAACATACACAAGCAAAGCCGATGGAGACGCGCAGTCCACTTTTTTTTTGTAATAACCCATCAGTCGAATAAAATATTCGAGTTTTATGAAATTTTGTTCCACTTGAGCTTGATATTTTTTGTAAAGGACACATCATTATGATCTCGCAACACGATACTTGATTGTGACAAAACTTTTCCGATAGTTTTTGTTCGATTTTTCTGAAAATTTGGTTTTTAGTGCTGGATTAAGTCTACCTAAATGGCAGATCCAGATTCAATTAGGGCCATGTATCTTTATAAAATAATTAATCGAACTTTTGTAATTTGATCGGTTGTTCAAAGGGTGCCTCAAACTGCAACTTGAATTTGTGACTTAAAATTTATAATATCTCAAATACCATTAGACTTGGGTATAGCAATTTATACTTAAAGTATTTTCTCAAAATTTAATCTAAATCAATCTGGCCTTAGGCTAAAAAGTTTGAAGACCCTGCTTTAGCTGATGAATTGATTCAGCAGTATTTTCGAAAAGATCACAATATTATTCAACATTCAAAGTACCCTCAATAAGAAAAGGTCCGTTTATAGAATCTCCAACGAGTACATCTTCTTCCCTCTTTTATTAAACTGATTTTTTGAAAGTTTTTATATGGGCGCCCGATTAATTCTACTTTCAGTAAAATACCAACTATATTTAGCACATTTAACATTACAACTACATGTGTAACCAGCGACAAAGATTTAATAATGAAATAATTTTCAGGAATTGTATTCATGGGATAAAGGAAACCAGTTGATTCACCCAGTTAGATCGCACGATATCGGCTACGACTATAATCAGACAGTGAAAGATGAAAAACCAGCAGACCTATCAGATCCCATAACGGCAAAGCAAACAGGTTTTGAAATAAATTAAGAATCAAAATTGTTTCAAAATGAAATTGTAACACTTACTTACTAATCTGTAATTACTGACTAAAAAAATTGCAAATTATTAATGTTTGTATTGTAGATTTTATAATAAAAATGATTAATACCTCGCATGTTTTAATTAATTAGCTGCACTAAGCAGTTAGTTACTGATATGAAGGTAATGTTAAATTATAGGGAAGAAATTGATTGAATTATTTTTTTAACCACCGAACTAATAAGCTAAACAAGTGGACGCGCAGTTGGTTTGTCGTAGTAAAATTTGAAGCATTTAGAAATAAAACAACGGATTTGTAGCAAAATCTATAATTATCAGTTAGTAACTTTTGGATATAAAACGAAAAACATTCTAGTAACAATACTCTAATTTATATAAATTTGTCAGAGAACTTATCTCTGCCGAATATACACGTACCAATACAAATTTTTCTATAAAAATACTGAATATTTTCGCGATTTCTAAAGAAAAGCAGTCGCTTCTATTCTGTAGTTTGCCGGAATAAGCTATTTCAGTAAAGACATTTTAATCAGTAGTAACTTTTAAATTGATATAAACTATTGATAAATAATTATTATCTGCGCGGCACTGCCACACGGCTACTCTTAGAAATTGAAACATAGCTGTATATAAAAGTAGACTTATAATTTAGAGGAAAGAGATTTTAAATCTGTATCACATTTGAAAATTGATCTAAACACATTGCTTATTAGTTATTCTAAACCGGGGGTTTTTTTGTTAGGTAAACATTATCCAGTGTATAAGCAATTTTTTAAAATATTATCGATACTAATTTCACAACCTTCTAAGTAAAATGTTATTAATTCGTTTAAATAATGAGGAATTAAAGGCACTTTAAAGCATTCAACAATGAATATAATTTTATTAGTATGGGGAATTTCCAACGATGTAGAAAAATAATTTGTTGCACAATATCATCCATCAAGTACCCGGGAGAGCATCAATTTTAGGTCTTCAAGAAAACAGCCGACTTATTAGTGTTCACCCTTGACGTGAAAGGTATTATCTTTTTCCTGGTCTGCTTTTCTGCACTGAATTCTTCGGTTTGTTAAAATCGTATGTGGCGCACTTGGGAATGTGTCTTGCCGCTGCAGATTCATTGAATCTGCAAAAAAGTAACATTAATTATATTGAATGAAGAAACCAGTTTGGTTCTTATTAACCTTCTTCCACAATGCGGGCATTCGACATAATCTGGATTGGTGGATGGAGGTGGTGGAGGTAAGTCAGACAATTTTCCTCCTTTGGCTACATAAGCTTGCGCTAGCTTAGCGGCTCGAATGGTTGCTATAAATTCCTCATGAGTTCGCCTCCAGCTGCCAGCTTTTGATGCAGACTGTTTGGCCGAAACCTGCAAGATTCATGGGTTCAACATAAAGGGATTTGATAAAAAATAAGCAATCTTAGACTCAAATTATGACCCTAATTTTATTAAAAATTAACCGTGTTAAGGTTAATTTGCTGACCTTTAAAGCATACATAAAATTACTAAGTAACAGCTTCACGCAATACAAAACTGGGACCTTCATCCGTCGTTAGTTTAATCTGATTTGGACATTTTTTTCCCATAACTACACAATCCAGAACAATACTGGTCATAGGATCAAAAATTGATGAATGCAAGCGTTTTACTTATCTTGGTTTGCTAAGGCCTTTAGACATAATAAAAAAATAGTAGCAAAAAAGAAAAAGTAAAAAATAACATGTCAATGAATAGTAATAAATAAATAACTCCGTAAAATGCAACCAAAAAAAGCACTCATTCCGTTTTGCTTTAAACGCTAACAAAGCGAAGTCATGAAGCATTTGAAACAAACTGGAAATTCTAAGAATCCTTAATATCGGGGTTGCAAAGTAATGAAATTATGGATGTGTGTTCAAATCAAAATAAATAATAAATATTAAAAATAATTAATATAGCGAATGTCTAGATTGAAACTTTCGGTTGGTTAACTGAGGTTTATCATCATAAAATGCGATTTTCGTTAAAAAGTCTGAAATTTGTAATTTGGTATCGTTCGTAGTAGCGCAGAAGTTAGGAACAAAGTAAGCCTACACCATTCTATAAAATAATCATGCGTTTTGGTAAAATGTATTAAAAAGTTCAGTTGTCAGAAACTTTCAAAATTCTACTAGAAAACGCAACATTTGGCGTCGCTAAGTTTCATTCTATTTCTTACTTGGATTACACAACAAGTTATGCCACTTCAGTTGGATCAGCACTCTATAAATTTTACGTTTTCCTATTTGCCCTTCGAGTTACTTTGAATTTCAATTTTTCAGTCTTATTTTATTTTTATGTGAGATGTTTACTGAATGAATTTATTTTAAATAATTCTGATTCAGATGATTTAGACAAAATTATCCATAACGTTTTGCTAACACAAGTAAAAAGAAGGGACGTTGCTCTTAAACGTACATTTTTTTCGATGAAACCAAATCCCCTTATAATTTTGCTATATCGTTCTAAACTGGGTTTGGTACAGCATTCTAAAGAATGTAAAACACCGAAATAATGTAAATAAACAGTTTAACATGCTTATACTTTTTTCATTATAATTACCTTTGGTTCCACTACTTGCCTTTCCATTACTTTGATTTTCTATAAAACGGAAAAAGTGTAGGAGGACGTTTCTTAGCACTTGAAAAAGCACATTGTTTAGCATACTTTGTGATAATTATGTGCTGCCTGGCTATTTCCTCATCAAATAACTTCCCTTTACCTCCCACGAAAAAAACAATATTCTAAGCTCAATTTTATTTAGTTGGTTGGTTCTAGATAATGGTTTCAGACAAACACCCAACGACCTCTCTTAATTCGATAAATTTAGCAAATATGTTGACTTTTAACGTACTTTGAGTTTAATAAAACAAAACTTTACCTTGCTACTAGCAGCTTTCTTCCCAGGCTTAAGTACATATCCCTCCAACTCCGTTCCAACCAATCTATGCTTGGTAGCGTCATATGCTTTCCTCTTCTTCTTCCCAGTCTTACCACAAATATCTTCGTGAACTCCAAGCCGATCAGTGGCAAATCTTCTTCCGCAGTAACGACATTCTGATAAATCGTCCCGGACAACTGGAGTTTTGGCTGTTTGCTTCGAGGATGGTCGGCCGTTACTTGGCGCTCTTTGAGGAGCAGATGACATCTGAAAATTGGATGAATTCACTGCATATTGTAGAACAGATGTAGAATATAAAACAGATAGTACCTGCTGTTTTAGGGGCATGTTGTTGTTCTCAGATCTTACTGGAGAGTTTCTTGAAGACTGGCTCGATGTAGAAGACACTGAATTTGATCTTGGAGATGTGACTGTTTTGGCTATCGGTTTCTTAGTGGCCACCTAAATTTCGTTCCTAATTAGTGCTCATGACATAAATGAAATTTGGAAATTATCAATTTAAGCTCATTTTGAATTTTAAATATAATGTCAAATAAATAAATGTATCAGTTGACGCCGTCAAGAATTACTTTTTATTACATTCAGCGCTTTAAATTAATTCTCTTGAATGTAGAAATATGTGGTAAGTTTAAATAATGATAATTACAGTTTCTAAAGTACCTGGCAAATACGTTGAAAATGTTTAACAGTTTTATTTGAATTTTGGGAAAGCTCGAGTTAAGTGGATTTCATTGATAAATCCCCCACACAGACCCAATGGTCGCCTTTTGATAGAATAGCGTATTTCCTTTGAACAAGCTTCTAGGAAAGCATAACTTAATTTGATTAAATTGGCTGAGTCAAGGCCGAACTGAGGGCAAATAATTTTTTTCTAACAGGCTCAGTTTGGCCTTTCAATCGATATGTGGTCGGAAATTAATTAAAGCCTCATTGATCGAGTTTACAAAAATATACATTTATACACCTAGATTTACATGCATCCATACTATATACAAAAATTGCCAGATTGGTAAAAATTATGGCTTCAAACTGGCAATGATGTGGTTTATTTAGCTGTTAACCAATTGGAAAGTTAAATATAAACACCCTAATCTGATGAGCAGCTTTTCACAATTCAGCGTAGGCCCAACTACGTACTAGGAAAAAATTATATAATTTCTTTCGGTTTTAATTAAATTTTATGTGGTCGATAGAGTGAGTGGTATTATACTTTTTGACTGTAAAAAGCTTTTAATGGCCTAAATTAGTTTCGCATTCTGACATTAAGCAGCTGAAGTTAATCAAATTCATAAGAGAATCTTTCGCAATAGCATTTTTAATATTGTTGGATTTACGAAAAATACGAAATGTAAATTGAAAATTCAACCCGTTTTCAGATAAATTATCAAACAGAAATTTAAGTTAACAATTTATTATTCCGTTAAGCTCTAATTGTAGTTTAATTACAATAGTACCAGATGAAACCAAGTTGATTATAATAAAGGAGATATAAGTAAATGATAAAACTAAAAGAGTTCAAAACAAAATATGGAAATTCAGTCAGTCTTTAAAATAATCATAAATAATGTCAGCAAATTCTTAGGATGGCCACTATAACAAGTTTGTCACCATTTCCAGAGTATTCATTCCATTTCCATTTTTAGGTAAAATTGGAAAATGGAAAAGAACAAAATAAGCAGATTCCCTTTTTGATATTTCAATTAGAAATGTTTCAAGTTTAATCTAAATTAGAGTTAGAGTGTTAACTAATTTTACAAACACTTTATTCTACAGATTATTTAGCAATTGTAAAATAAATAGAGAAATTAAATTGAAAACTCAATAAAATTTAAACTCACCAAAAAACCGGTAACAAAATTGAAAATATCTTATAAAAATTCGACAATGAAATATGATTGATATGATATAGTTTATATAGGGACAATCCCAAAGCCACTAAATAAGATAACAAAAAAGACAGCATGCCATAAGTGCATAAAAATATCCCAGCAACCCGCAACTCCAATTTTTCAACAAATTGTAAGGAAAAATATTGAGTTGACCGAAAAAAAGTACAATTTAAATGGTTTCACAAGATCGTCATAGTTCACTAAAAAATAAATTCATGTTTCGAGAGATAAATAACCGTTATTGCTATATAGATACGCTATATAGCTATATCTATGCTATATAGATATAGATCATGAGAAAAATGCCATCTCAACTGGTTTCAAATTCTTGTTTTACGGGCAATTCAAAGTTAAGTAAATTAGCATATTTTAATTACCAAGATATTTAGTTTTTTTATTTCCAGTTTACGGCGTTTGCATTCACTGCAATTAGTTACATAAAAACATGACACTAAATCTGATGAAAAAAGTAAAATATGAAACGAGATGACTTCTACAGCCATGTAAATATTTATTATTCACGTCCACGCTAATCCATTAAAAGCATAGCATTTTCGGTAAAACTTTGAAGAAATTTTCCACTAATTGCATGCTATTTACTGCTAAAACTATTTTTCTATTTTGAATATTTACTTTTATAATTTCAATAACAATAAAAGCAGGCTGGAAGAATTTGAGAACATACTGAAAAATGTAAATGTTTCCTGGTATCACTTGATAATTAAGTATATTAAATAACAATCCTTCATAATAATAATCCAATAATATATGGGAACCTCTGACGCAGTCATCTTCCACTTGAACTTCACTCTCAAAGTGTGGAAACTACTGATCATTAGATTTCAGTCTTAGAAGCAACTTTAACCAGCAAATAATCATTCTAGCGTTGTCGTCGTCTAAAGTTCTGGATTCTACTTAATGGTGAATTTCTCCACGCAGCTTCTTTTACGAATTTTGGAACAATCCTACCGACTGCACCAATTACGTGTATCGAATAAAAAAACATTTTAAACAAATTATATTTTCTTAATACCAGTTGATAGTTAAAAATCAAGAACCACAATGAATCTTTTGGTCAGCAGTTTCCATTCTTCACGTGTTTTCATTGGCCTTTGATAAAACCAGTGGAAGATAGCTGACTTATTACTTTCCATATAGTAGATAGATTCATTCAGTAGATTCCACATGTGTAACTCGCTTACCTTAGATTCATGTTTAACAACTCCATTTCTTTGACTCAGTCCCATCACTGCTGGCTTGGACTGCTTTTCTTCCCTTTGACTTGGAAGTTTTCCACCTACGTTCGCTAATTTTCCCCTCATATATAACGGTTTTTCTGGATAATTGTCGTTAAAACCTTAAGAGAACATTGATCTTCAAGTTAGTGCTTTCCCCAAGACGATTTAATTTTAGATATAATAATTAGGCCTGAACTGCAAGTATTTCTAACTACCTATTTTTGGCAAATCTTCATCTTCCAAATTATCATGAATATTGTGATTATTCATCATATCCACTAATGTATCATGCCCATCAACTTCGTCAAAACTTTCAACAACTCTCGTATTTTCCTCATAGTTTCCATTTTGATAATTATTGTTATAAACTCGTTGAAATGTTTCCTTCTGGCTGACTATTGGCTTGGAGTTATTTATTTGAGTTACGGTTTTTTTTATTGCAGTTCGTACTGCCGTCGAACGAGTGGTCGATGTGATATTACGATGATTATCAGCTATGGGTTTTTTAGCCACAGTTTTAGTTTTCAAAGGTTCTAAGGGGTAACTTTTATCCACTCCTGCTTTGCGGCGTTCTTCAAACATTTGTCGAACCTAATATAAACAAAAACCGATAAAATATATTATGAAAATTTTTTATTTTCAGTTTTCTTTGCCGCACGGCTTTCGATTAATGCAAGACAAGATAATAGTAATAGTGATATTTAATTTAACTAATAAAATGTGCTATATATCTTAATGCATGAGTGCTTCCAGTTCCATAAAACTGTTACTAAAATGTCTTTAACTTTTGCTTACTTTTCCTCCTCCTGTTGATCCAACACTGGTAGTACTTGCATTACTGCCAGCACTTCCCCTTCCCACCTTTTCAAAGGCCCTTTGCTGTTGACTTTCGTAGAGCTTGGATAGTTTCTCTTCTTTTTCTTGCATTTGCTTCTGTTGAAAGCGAGCCTGCAACAATAAAAAATTCATGATTATATTATTTATTGTGACAATAAATACAGACTAAAATTCCCATAAATTTCTACTATTGAATTGTTAATGCGGTTTTTCATCTTTTGATTCTACTAAAACTAAAAGTTCAACAGCAATTTATTATTTCAAAAATAGCGGGTGTGTAAAAGCACACTAGTATTCCGGAGAACTATCTTCAATTAATATTTTTTTCTTGTGTTTGCTACCAAAATCTCCGGTTAACTAAAAACTAATTAAAAAGTCCATACGATTGAAATTTATTCAGATGTGAGCCCATTCACTGAAGTCACTTTAGTTCGACATACTTTTTCCATATTTTCATTATTTACTTCGAACTTTCCGGCATTTATTCTTTTGCTTATTTATTGTTGGTTTTTCCCTTCTTTGCAATTGTGTGGTATTCACTTTTGCATCAGTGTTCTCAAAAATGTATTAGTTTTGATTTATTAATACGTAATTTCTTCCTTGAGGATTAAATGCCCTTTCATTATCAGTTAGAGCCTTGTTTGCTACAACGGTGACAGCGTTTTTTAGCAATTTATCATTTAGGTGGGTAATTTACTACTTTTCTCTTACTGTGAGTAGTACGAAATGAGTATTGTCTGTCATTGTGCGTGTTTCTACTTTTTGTCTTTTCCTTGTCCGAAAATTTATTGGTCTCATAAACATATATTTTTGAACAAATTTAAAAAGAGTTTTCGAAGGTGATTTTAGAACGAAAAAATGCAGTTTCAATGACCTTCGTTGAGAATGACTAGCAAAATTTCACACGTATTTTCATACCCGATAACTGGTTGAAGATACATTTTATACAGGTAATTTAACGCTTATTTTCTTTCAGCGGTTGAGAGACATTTACAGTTATTTATTATGCATCAATTAGTTACCATGCAGATGTTTCGTTTCTCGTCAAAGCCCGTTAAAGAAAATATATATTTTTGTAATTGTCCCAGACTTTCTGCAATTATAATTTCATGAGAAAATCAATCTGAAATTATTGAAGGATTCAAACAAAGCCATTAAAAGTTAATGCTTTAAATGTGTGTTTACTTAACGTGTAATGTCTTTAGATAAACGTCTGGGAATATCAAGGATATGAAATGTTTGTATTCATTTATTTATTTATTTTTAATATTATTATTGACATATCGGATCTCAACATTTTGTCTGAAATTACCACACTCAAAGATGTCAAATATATGAGGTGATAAATATTGTAAAATAATATTTCAAATAATTTCAATTGACAAAGCAGTCTATTATAGTAATAAAAACTGTTAACTAAACTGATTTATAATTTTAAACGATAAATAATACCTAGTAAAAACAACTTTTGTAAATAAGTAAAAATAAATAAATTTGAGTATTAAAATCAATAATAAATAACTAAACAGATGAAAACAATTTTCTAATTTTCAAAGTGATAAAATATAGCATGAAAATGCAAATAAATATCATTAAACAGATAGTTTGTTTTAATGACATATTATCCAATGGATTACTAATGTGAATTCATGTACCGTATCTGTATGAATCTCTATCGGATTTGTCTATTTTTAGTGCGCTATTTTATATTAGACGGACATAAACTTTTAAATCGATAATTCACTAAGTATGATGGACATTTTCAAGGATAAATGGGATAATTGTAATTATTTGTATTAGGAGATTTCAAAACATCGATGAAAATTCATTAAAATACATTGAAATTTGAACGACAATTTTAATGCTTGTTAATGAAAATCGCTCAATTTAACAGTTGCTTTCTTTCTTTACTAGAAAGCTATTTGCGATTTATTGCGATAATTGAAGAACTGTATTGTAAAAACGATTTCTTTTTGGGCCTAGAAGATATTCGCTTATATTTTCATTGAATGTTTCCTTACACGTTGAAAAATTTGTCATTTGTTAAAATCATGAAAAAATTACCTTGCAATATTCCAAATCGTAACTATCGACTCTCGATCGAGCCAACCATGATGAATTCCAATTCACTGATACGATATTGTTTAAACTGGATGACATATATTTTTTCATTGCTTGCATAGACATATAAATGTGCTATTTTCACGATAGTCCGAATAGTTGAAGTGCATTCTTAAAACTAATAAACCGGAAGTTAACACTCGCAGTGAATTTAAGCTCAATAAAATGAAGCATGTGTAAAGAGCTTAATAATGTATGAAAAATGATTGAAAAGTACTTCAAAGCTATTGAAGCCTCACACTCGTATTAATTCGATTCGCTTTGGAAACTTCCGTAATAATTTTAATAAACGTTTTTACCGTCAAATTTTAAATTGTTGTGAATGGGTGCCGGTTTGCAGGAAAAATTCGTTAAATATCAATGCAACTTTGAAACATGTAGCAAATTTGGATTTCAAACCATCAAACCATAAAAACTTATTTCATATAGGAATTCTTTTTAATTTGATTGAACATTAAAAGTATATTTTAAAGAAGACTTTTGATTAAATTAAACTAGCCATTTCTTGTTTGAACTTGGTAAACTTTGTGAATGAAATCTCGCTTCTCATATGCTCAGGCACTGACCGCACGAAGTTTTCACTTGTTCTCCATGTTCCGAACAGCACAACTGAGTAATTCATAATAGTAAACTTGAATGAAATTTAGAAACTCCATTGATCTTGAATCATGCGCTGACCGTTTGTGGACATTGTTCCTACAGATAAACGGTTGACCAAAGGGGAAGTTTTGGGCTCTAGGGGTTGTTTATTGCATGATATCAAAATGAAGTGACTCACTTTATTTATGTATTTGCTTTTTATTACAACGATATGGCTTAGTCATTGAGGATAATGATTTGTTTTACTTAGAAGCACTTTAATTTTCAGAATAGTAATTTATTTTCCTTATATGTCCTAACCCGATTAAATAAGTGGGGAAAATATGAAATAAATGTGGAAAAATATTTTGCTTGTATTGCAATGCAACTTTTCAAGTTCCCAAAACTTGAAATTTAACTATTAAAGTTCAACATTCTACCAGAAGAATGGTCTGAGTGTCCTGAATTATTTATTTGGTAATGAGTTTTGCCACTTAGTGCAGCCCCTATGTATAGATCAATTTATAACTTGCTTTGAAACCACGGGAAAATACATGATAAAGAATGACAGAATAAATCGACAATGATTTATATGACATGAACAAGTAATTAAGGAATACATAGTTATTGCGGATACTATATCGTTCTTGTAACGATTTCCATGTAACTGCGGCCAGCATGCAGATAATTTTACAGTTATAAACATCCTGAAATCTGTTTAACAGTTCAGGTTTCTGTTGTAACTGTACAATCCCAAATTACCAGAGATTCAGATGCTTGGGAAGTACTTTAATGGGCATTTTTGAATATCGTTAAACAAAATGGAATAACATAAATTAGACTGTTAATGTCTAGTTATTTTTTATTCTTACAGGTACAGGTACATATTTGGTTTATATCATTTCATTGTCGCATTATAATATTTTTTTGTAATCGATACAAACGTCTATATTTTCAAAGTATGAGAACTAAAAAGTGTAAAGAAATAAAAGCCATAGATACGAGTAGTAAATTATTAAACAATGGTGTGATTAAAAGTATTAAACCTAGTTGGGTAAATTTTCTAACTGATACAAATAGTCACCATTTCCGTTAAAAATTTTAGTTGAAGGTCGTTAGATTTTTACGATCTCACATCAGTTTCAAGTGACGAAAATAATGAGGAATTCCAGACTTCAGAATATTTGAGTTTTATAAATCGTTCAAGCACACACATGTATAAAATTTACGAAATTTTCGGCAAAAAGTCGAAATTTTACATATAATTATTTTCCTTGGTTCCTACTGGTTCTTTTTTCTAAAAAATCAAACACTTTTCATAAAATTTATCAAGTGCATTTTCTAAGTTTAAATACCTAGTTAATTTTTAAATATGTGCATTAATTAGTTCAAGACACGGTTTACTAGTCGGTACATCAAATTATTGATTTCACCTTGAAACAGGAAAACGCTGGAATCATTAAAATTTGAACGAAAAGATTACTGTTATTTAGTATGATCGACGTGTCTTATTGGATCTTTTTCCAGAACATTTCCCCGGAACTTCTTCGACGAGGCAAATGTTTCGTTTTTAATAGAATTTACAACAAAAGAGCTTATTACCTTATTGCATCAAAAAATCATTGGTTGGAAATAGAAAATTTTCAGTCCAGAACAGTCCAGTGTCCAAAAAACATATTCAAAGTTTACGTTACTCTTCAAACCCTGTTCACATTTTTGACTAATAATTACTCAAATAATTTGATGCTGTAAACCAGAATCGACATTTAAACTAAATCAATAAAGCACAGTAACAATTAAATTATAATGATTTAAGCAGGATAACAGCAATTAATTTGACAAAGGAGTCACGAGAGCGGAAAGTCTGTAAAATTTTAGATTTACCTTAAACAGTGTGGCCTATTTGCTCAAAAAGATATTCAGAAAGCTAGACAACGGAGCATTGTGTTTTCTTCAGTTTAGAAGTATTTAATTGTAGGTTTGTTCTAGATCGTGGTAGAAAATTTTTCTCGGCACTTTTAGAGAGTTCCAAATTTGAGTGAAAAATATTTGAATGCTTTATAAAATTGCAGAATAAATGTAAAATGAAAGGCGGCTTATTTCTTGTTTCAACTAATAAATAATTATTTAAATGCATTAATCATTTCTCTGAACCGGTGAAAAACATTTTTAACAACACTAAAAACGACACATCACGGACATTTGCCATCTACAACAAATAAGGCAAGATGCTTGGACGACTTCGAAATAAATTTGCTTTAGATCCCGTGCTTTAGACAACAAAAAATTAAACAACTTGAAAAAATTCAACATTTATTAATCGTTTCAAAAAAACAGAACAGCCTACGCTCATGTCTTTATCAGACAAGGAAAATATGTTGATAATTCATCATCGCCCAGTAAAAATCTACGCCGATGACCTAGAGGTCTTGCACTTATGCAATACACCTAAATAAGGAAGATTTGCGTTCAGGTGAGTCAACCATTGAAAATCGTGGGCGAAAACCATCAGAAACGCCTGACCAGCCAACCTTAGCACAGTTGGGTGAATCAACCATTTTCATTGTCGGCTTTCACCTACAAGTTGAGCGACTTGTAGAAAAAAAACAGGTTGATTAATTATAATTTAAAACCTTGGGATATTTTATGGTAACTGTACCGAATAGATAATGACAAAACAGCTGGTAAAATCCAATATTTATCAATAAAATAGTAGTAATGAGAATAGATAAATCGCTTTTTAAAAATATATTCTCAGTATTAACATTCTGTTGAAGGTTTGCAAGCATACTAAAATCTATGGCATTTCCTAACAAAAAATATCAATTTGAGTTACATGTATGTATTTATAAAGGAATATTTTATGTTTCGTGTTTTTCTTATTAAAATCTAGTACTGGTTGCGGTTTGCATTAATTAGTAACTTAAAAAGTACGTGCGGAAAAAGTCTATTCCGCTCTATGATTGAAGATCGCGACGAAGCGACCATCCAAACCAGTTTGAACCATAAATTTGCCTTTGAAAATGTTTGCGTACGAACAGCCACTTTCTACAAAACAGCCAACAATAAAAAAACGGAAATCCAACTGTAAATGACTCATCCAAAGGGACTACCAAGCAAATAATTACATCGCGACTTTAATTCTGTAGTTGGCTGCCTTCGAAAAGTGGTAAAAACATCAATATCACTAGAGTTTTTTTAGAAAAAGTGACTTTAAATATTCAGTTTGGTAAGGGAAGTGAACACAATCCGTCGTCAGTCCTTTGTTCATAGACGGCATATACAGGATGATTTGGTGCCAATAAAGCAAATGCGCTGGATTATCCGTTATCTGCAACTGAAAGATCAAAGTTTTCAATTCGGAGTGGATGTTTATTCTTTGCTCAAGTGTATTGTGAGTTTTTTGAGAATTAGTTGGTAGAAATGGAGGATGGGTAGCAGCTTGCAGAAATCTGGTAAACATGATTTCTAATCTATAAATTATTTAGCTTGTACTGAATTTATTATTTCGAGAAGCAACTGAAGTTGATGGCATTTTTTATTTCTATTTATTTCCTCTGTTTATTTCAAATAATTAAACTTTTGACTAAGTTTCTGTAGTATGCTAAGTATGCTTTTCTTTCTTTCCAGGTGGCACGATGCAGCTTTCGGTAAGTTTGGCATTACTTTGCTCCGGGTTGCCATATACACTGATGGACAAAAAAAGAGCTTTTAGCATGTATTTTGTCATATTGCTGCATGCGATATCTATTCGACAAGGCACGACGAGGGAGGTTCTGGAATCTGGATTGAGTTTTGCATTTTTTCAAATTTTCTCTGTAAAATTAATTTAATCTCAGATATTATACGTTAACCAATAATGTTCTCTACATAATACTCTTTTAATATGTAAAACTTTCTATTGTCAACTCTACTTTTGAATGTCTGGACAGGAAATTTGCGTCATTTGCAAGCTTTTCTTCTTTAAATTACACCCTGAATTGAACTGTTCAATCATTTTCACTCAATTTTCAATGCTTGAAACTACGCTTTCTACTCTTTTTTAAAAAATTGTCGATGTATGGACAAAACTGGTATAATTAGACTATTTATGTATATGTTGGGGTTATTTTTGTTTAGTTTGGGTTATTGTTGATTTAAACCAGTGTTTTCACTGTACTGAAAGATTAAAGCAGCGTAGAATCCACATCAAAATACTTAAAGGTAGGTAGCATCACTTGCAGCCTCAGCTTCTGGACTACTCATTTAGATGTTGGCCTGTTTGTGACAAATTTTACACTCTAAATAAATTATTGATTTCAAACTATTCGTGCTAGGGAATTTCAGAGGCCAGGATTCGTCCGATATATTTAAGATTTTTTGCATCCAGCGCCTTTCAGGCCGTAAGTTGCCCAGATCAAAATTTTAAACAAACTAACAGCCACTAAATTAGTTTTTTGAGAAAAAATCAAGGTTTTAGGGAATTTTCGGCGATATGGATCATTTCACCTTGAAGAAGTAGAAGGAAACCAGGGTTGTTGTTTTTCTTTGATAGCATTTACGCTGCTCGCATATGCATACTTGTAGGTTTTATGAGGCGAATTTAATATAACCGCTTTTTAGAAATTATAGCGTACTTAATTTCGTATGCTTCATACTTTTTTCGGATAAACAGTAAAACAGGTAACATTTCTAAGTCCTTCTATTCACTTAAAACAGCATTTTCTCATTGACTTAGAGAAGTAAAAGATTCGATATAATTCTGAGACAGCAATGGAAACGGCGAACAAAATAAACTTTCTGAAACAGCTTTCTACGCCACGTCTATCGGCTTTTTAAGTTTTTCAATTTCTGAAAAATGTTGAGAACTGACCGAGTTCCAGGTTGTATGTGTAAGATTGAGTTTTGAAAATTTTTACATACGAAGGCTGTTTTCCAAAAAAAAATTTTATTTTCAAAAATCGCCTTTTGGACTTTGAGGACTCAATCAATCATCCCATTTCAATTTTGCAAAATAAGATTTTTGGACAAAATCAATCGTTTTCGAACGAGTTTTCAATGATCCAAATCGGCCCCGTATTAACAGAGTTACTTATTTATTCATACTGAAGTATCTGATGCATTCAAAATCGCAAAAGTGACATGTTGCTGTTTATATATAACTTAATTTATTTAATATATAAATAACAATATATAATTTATTTAACGTAAATTTTCCTACACGGGAAATAGTTCAGCTCTATCAGCAACAGAAAAAAGTATTTACAAATCATTGAGGATTTTTTTACAGAAATGAAAGTTTCACTGAAAATTGTGTTTGTTTTTCCTCTATTGCCAGCTTTTGAAGATAATATTTCTCCATATTTTCTAATAAGACTGGCCTCGAACTTCTCTTTCAGGTATAATTATTTATACGGAATAGTTTTTAACAAAAGTGCAAACATAAAAATCATTACTTAATTCAGTTAACCGTCATTTTACCGGCATATTGTTATAAGAATATTTATGTCCACTATTATTCCGGTGATTATTCTAACACACGATTTTAATTGATGGTTTGTTGAAAGACACTGTTTTGGAATGCCTTTATTTGGCACTCAAAGTGGACTGTATTTATTTTATAATCATAATGACGACCACTGAGTGTTTTTTACGATACTTTATTTGTGCCTCTTTATAATCAAGTCTCTATCAACAACTACTTTTTTGTTTACAAACAACAACCGTTGCTACTCGTATCTCGAACTTCAATTATTTAAATTCTACTCTCAATTATTTTAACAGCAATAACGATTAACGATTGCTTAAGACACTATTTCGAATATTTTCAGTCTCAAAAAACATATCACTAGATACGTGCGCGAAATTTGAAAAAGCAATAATCGTGCAACAGCCGGTACAAGAAAAACACCTATAATCAGAATGTAATGGAAAAACGCAAGAAAAGTATAAAAGGTGAAGGACAACGAAATTAATGTCAATCAACAGGGCAAAGTTGAACCGGCTTCTATTTATTATTTATATCTGTACTTCCATGTTCAATTGCTTGGTGACATGTGATAGATATGTACTTATTATTTTTTCTAAGACTTTAACTATTTCATGCATTTTCCAGTCTGATATGGCTAATTTGATGCTTCAAAAATAAATCAAAATTTTAAATCATATATTTAAATATACTATTATAAATATATGCGACAGGAACAAAGATGTTGCAAACCTAATAATTTCCAAATTATTCACTCAAAGTTAATTGCTGCTTTCCTTTCCTTAAAAATTAGCTCCCAGATAGCAGAATACACTAAAATATTACAAATGTGTTAAGAATAAAGCATCTATATTAAACCAGACATTTACTAACGAAATTCCAGCTTATTTCTATCTCTTGTAGCTCTATTGTTGAATCAAAATGTAATTTTAGAAACATTTGTCTGTTAAATTAAGCTACCTATGAGTTCTGCTCGTTTATTCTGATATTAAATTCGTTTTTTTTTATACAAATTGACCATTCTATTATACTCAGATATCGAAAATATAATGACCCATGCAATGGTTATTGTATACGCAGCAAAAACATGATGAGAACTTCGCTTTTGTTTCCTTCGCTTTGCCCAATTGGCAACGTCATTCTATCGGAATTTTAAGGTCAGTCACATACATTAGACGTTGTAGATGATAAAATATAAATGGTACTTGTGATGTCGGTACATTCAATTAGGTGAGCCATTAGGACGAAGGTATTTTGTACACTATTTGAGCGTGAGTTTATAGCTACTTTTTTTATCGACTGTGGATATAATTAACTTAGACGTTTTATAACGATCGTCTTTATACTTATCAGGTACACAAGAAACGTTGACAATGCAATAAACAAAAAACGTCAATACCTATATTAAATGTTGCGTATACTCTTACTCTGGTTCAGGTTGCAAATGTGCACCTTTCAATCAACACTGAACAATTCCACTTTTTCAATTCACTTTTTATAAACCAAATTATCATTTCTTTCACTGTTAATTAATTATCATTTTAGTTCCACTAGCAATTTATTACCCCTGATTTCACCTGTCGATTGTTTGTAGTTCTCATAATTCACTATTCATGCTAATTAAATTCAGTAATGTTCTTTTAATTAGTAAATCCAAACAGTTGATTTAATTAGGTCGGAACTATTGATTATTTGTAGATACCGTGCTCAAGTGATTTTATTTCCTTCGTAAAACATTACGGAAATTAGCATTTCAAATGTAAAAACGTGTTTTATGGGGGTTGAGAATACAACAAGAAAATTATAGGGTCGTTCAACTCGACTACTAGTCGAAAAAAATTTAGATAGCTTGCCAAATTAATTTCAAAGAGGTAATTTTCAGACCTTTAACACGAAAAGTGGATTAAATAAGTTGGGGTAACATTTGGGCAATTACATTAGCTGATTTTTAGAAAAATTTGTGTTTTTCTAGTCGAATAAATTCTAATAATTTAATATTTTTGCTTTTGCTGCTGCGCCAATTTTATTTTTCTGAATACAGTCTTATATACAAACCCTAAACGAAATAAAAAATATGCAAATTACACGAAACTAAAAACTTAAATACAAATCCAAAGAACTTGTCATTTGTATAAAAAATCCATTCGAATTTAATAACAGCACTGGTGATATACATAAAGAAGTGGCTATAGATTAAATTGATCCCCAGCTTTAAATATTCTCCTAAACTCGCTTTAGACAGTAATATTATTTTGTCTCTTTGATAATGATATTTGATGCTTTCTGTCAATAACTTCCTTCTATTTCAGGAATGACCTTTTTGGTTTTCTTTTCTTCGTGTTTATCTTTTGTCGCTCAATTTGCAGTAATTTTTTGACATTTAATTGATGTATTTAAATAATCTGAATATTTATTGTAATTGTGGTGAGTGGACGAGGAAAAATGTGTATTTCGTTCATGGGTTAATTTAAGGCATTGAATATTGCTAAAATAAGTCGTTATCTTATCGATATCTTAATAAGCTGAAAAGATAGCATTTGCATATTTCCCGATGCGAATTTTAAATAATTATCCGTTTTCAACCAATGATCCATTATTGAAACATCGTGTTCAGTTACGTCGATTATCGTTCATTGGCTGAAATTTCTTAACAGGAAATTCAGAAAATTAAGTTTTGCAACACAAAACAGGAAGTTTTTTTTCTGGTATCATGCTTCCAACTAAGATAATTTTTATTTTCCGGTGATATGAAATGCTGAAAATACACTTACATTTAAATGTTAAAATATTGTAGATTTGTGATAGAAAACTGACGGTTTGCAGCTTTCTAGTTGACTTATCTCCGTTTTTAAATATAGTAATTACATACTACGGCGTCATTCCATGACTCTGGTTTTATACCTTCTTTTAGTCACACATTTCTTCTTCATTTATGTCACGCATTTCTTCTGAGCCAACATTGAATCTGGATCTTATTCGGTTTGTGAGACATATACGTAGTTATAAAAGTTTTCAGATATTTCAAGTGTCTCTTGTTTCTATGTTGTCCCTGTTTCTCATATCATGCGCTTTCTGCCTTCACTTCTTCTTAAGCATTGTAAGTTTTTATTTTTACTTATGGCCCTTTCTACTTGGACTTATTACTAGACCCAATAATTTTGAAAATATTTCCTTCTTATCTGGCTTGTTTCTTCATAGATCTATCGGTCTCGTTGTGGTCTATCTTCTTTTGAAAGTTTATTCCTTTGTTCGATTTTTTCTTTGTTTACTTACTAGTTTTTCGATCTTTCTCAAGCTTTCTAAGTTCGAAGCCATTTCTGTATTATTTCTTTGTTACGTGACATAATATTTCACTAAATTCGCCCTTGACATGACCATTGGGGCTGATTCAGGTCCCTTACCGCTTTTTTAATACGTAAAAAAGAGTGGAGACATAAAATCCCGAATTATGCATGCAGGATAAGCGGCTTACATATCGGTTCTGCAATCTGAATGCATTATTAGATTTGAAGCAGGCGCCTTTCTGCATTAATTCCTTCGCAACAACTGACAATTACGCATCACAATGTTTATTGTCTATCTTAGATCCGATTCGTATTCAAATATTCTAATTAACAATACCGACCCACAGAGCGTGACATTAAGAATTGCTTAACAGGTAGGCACCAGGTTGAAAAGGAAAAAAATGAAGTGACTCATTTTTGTGTTGGTGAAATCGTTTTGGCTGCATTTATTCATAAGGTATTGTCTCAGGGTATAAAATGAAACTCTCATTTGCTATGCCCCCTTATTTCGACTAACTATTAAGTTACAATGAAAATTTGCAAATTTCCTGTTCAATGAATTATCAGAGAAAATTGGTCGAATGTTATAAATAACTAAAAACATGCGAAACATGTAGACATTTTTAAGCACAGCAAATGGTAATTTGCATCTACATTGACTAATGGTAAACGTGAAGTTTCATAAATATTAAGTGCTCTGGAAAAGCCATGAGTTAAATTTTGTTCTAAATATTTCCAGTCAATTTATACCTTTTTGCAATATCTAGTCATTATTGGAAATATAGGTTCAAATCAATCGATAAATCGATCATTTTAAGGACAAAATGTGTTTATTCAATTCCTTAATAGTGAAATTATCTGCTTTTATGTAAATATCACTCTTTTCAAATTCCACAAACAAAACCAAACCATTTTTTGTACTATTTACATTTACCTTTTATCTATTTCACTGTACTTGTTTTAGAAAAACTTCCCTAAAACCCAAAAAAAGATCTTCAGTTTTTTGCCTTTATGTATAAGAATTCTAATGTGTCCCAATGGACATAATTAATTTTATTTATTTATTTTTTATTTATAAATTTTCAATCAGTAATTTAAAAAAAATGAAAGCAAGTAGATGAAATTGAATTATCCGAAGAACGATTTGTAAACAAAACTTTCAATCATAGAATTACTAAATAAAATTATGAACTTCTTAAACATAGTCTAGAAAGTGCCCTAGATAATTAATGATACCCTGCAGCGTCCCAGCACATATAAAATTACCACATAGCCCCATTAGCCCCATTTGCAATATCAGTTATAATTAATCACTCAAACAATCGTCGTTGCCTGTAATTTTACTTTTAGATTATTATTTTTTCGATTTGTTTTCTACACATAAATACGGATTTTATCAGTTATAAAAACCAGTATAATTTAACGATTAAAGAAAGCCTGTTCATAATTTATTGCAACAAAAAGCTGTGTTAATAGCATTATTTGCATTGCCAAGTTCACACAGTAAAAGCTGGCCAAGAAGATTGTTAAGGCAAAAAAGTTGGTCCATTTGTCCGCAGTCCCCCATTTAAGGATGCATGTAGGAGTCGCTTTAATAGCAAAAATCCCACATTATCCACGTAATCTAGTTTGATCAATAAAGCAACAATAAAAGCAGCAAAAAGTCCACTTTTGAACAGACAGGAAAAGTTGTTGAATGTTTAATTAAAGTATTTTTGCCCACGTTTGAAAGTGAATTGAAATATAAAACAGTAATTGTTTTGACAAATAACACTCTTACGCAAATTGGTTGGTAAATACGAATATTTTAGTGTTCGAATTAATTTCAAAAAGGTTTCAATTTGCTGATTAGGTATATAAAAGATTATTAAAAAGTGAAATCGTCAGACATTATTTCCTACAGAAAAAGGCTATCGACCCAATCGGTCTTTTTGCCCGACATTTACATTTAAAGAGATAAAAATACTTACTTGCATTTGGAGGAGTTTTGAAGCCATTCTGGGTTATATCAGGTGGAACTTGCTTGATTCGTAAAAAAATCCTGCAAAAAATAATTATAATTTATAAATTAAAGAATATTTTGCCTTGTATATGCAATGGACTATAAACATAAATTGAAAAAGTTATTGGAACCTTTCATGAGAAATGAGATGATCAATAAATTAGGAAGAACGATTCCAAGCTGCAAAAAACGATGGTAATTGTAACTTTGAGATCATAATCATGGTTCCAAGTGTTTCAAGCGCTTTAACCGATGCCTCATTTTCTATATAAAGATTGTTATTTTTTAACAAATATAGGAACATTTTATAATTGAGCATTTTGTTTCTACTTTTCATTGATATTCTTTCTGATCAAGCACTTACTTAGAAATTATACTTACTTAGTAAATTTGAGGTATTATTTATATTTGAAAAACAGACTTAAACGGTTCATAAATTTGTCTGTTAGTAAGAAGACAACACGGATGTTTTCATGATAATTAAAAAGAATAACTTAAGTGTTGATTCAAAAATACCGGACCATCTGAGGAAAAAGTAAGTTTCATTAAACTCAGAAGAAACTGAAGCTGGAATGCCGGGCTTAAGATACAGATTCTATTCCAAAGCAAGCAATGTATTTTAGTTTGAAAATGGTTTAAAATTCAACTAAATTTAACGATTTCTGTATCAATTTACCTTGTTAAAGAAGAGGAGAAGCGATATTATGTGACGGACGCACGATCTACATATACATTATATAAATGGTATTGATCTTTCAAAATTCTAGTTCATTTTTTTATTTGCAGAATCGCATGTCACAATAATTCTGTTAAACTATTACATCCAAATAGCAATAAAATTCAGTAAATTATCTGCTGAACGCTTTCATAATTTAAGATCCATTTGTAAGGTAGAAAATCCACAGCTAGTAGACTTTAACTTTAAAGAAAATAAAAAATTTGTATAAAATACACGAAAATCAAGAAGTGAAAACAAGCATCAAGGCCCGACTGAACACAAAAACTAAATATTAACTCAACGTTAAACCGAATAATACCAAAAACTGGAATTGATTTAATCCAGTTTGGCGTCATTCGCGTCTTAAATCTAGATAGATCTAGATGTAAGTCGATCTGGATGCGGAACCTACACAACGTTTAAACAGTTGGCACCACAGATAATTTATATTTGAAAAACGAACTTGAGCATTTCAAATATTTGCCTGTTACTATGAAGAAAACAAAGGTATTTTTATGATATAACGAATAAGAAAAGCTTAAATGTCAATCAAAAAATACAGCGTGGCACGATCTGAAGAAAAGGTAATATTTTTATTGAACACAGCTCCAGATTATTTTCTGAAGCAAATGATGTCTTCTAATTGGAAAATAGTTGAAAAGTCAAGTTAATTTAACGACCTCTCTATTATCCTCTTATTTGCGGTACCTACACCCCGTTTGCACTTCAACATTCTAGTTCAAATTTCTATTCCATCAACTATTGAATCCAAATAGCTAAAAAAGCATTAAATTTTCTGCGGACCGCTTTTAATTAGACCGTTTGGTTTGGTCTAACTATCAAATGTTTTCTTCTGTAATAAAATTTATGAAATGAAGTGACTTCATCGATTAAAGTTGATTTGATAATTACACAATTCACAGCTTGTGAACTTGGGAAATTAACATTGTTAAAAACACATGGAAATCAAAAGAGTGTAAAAAACAGGCTTAAAGCTGACTAACCCAAATATATTTATCTGGAATCTCGTTCATCCAGTTGACGCCATTCCGTTCTCAAATCTACATAGATCTAGATGTAGGACGGTGCGGATTCGGAGCAAACAAAATGTTTGTCACTCTTTGGCGCCGAGAGTTTGAGAATATTTTCATATTATCTTCTTTGCAAACGTTTTGGAATCGTAATTTTATACAGCTGTAATATATCTGAATATATTCACCATTTTCACTTTCATAGATTGCACATAAAAAAATTAATCCAGCTTCTAAAATGAGCACTTTCTCATAGGCTTTTTACTTTAAATCTTAACAGTTTGTTTATGATTCAAAAGCCAGAAATCGTTTAAAGCGAGAGCTTTTTGCAACTTCCGATTCTAATAACTACATTAATTGTGAATTTCACAACTATAAAAGTTAAGCTATTTTCTCAAACAACTTTGTTTTCAACAAATTGCAATCTCATTGGGCGATTCATTCCAAAATTGGGCTCAACTGCATCATATGAGGCACCTTTTCATGTAGCAAAACAACTACAGGCTATGACTCATTGCCAATGCCATCATAAGCCACCTTATGCTATTGTTGATAGACCACTTCACAACATATGTTGAGGATTTCAATGGCCAAATATAGAAATAGTGAATATTGAAGCTGTAAATTAATATTGTATGCTTCCTGATAAAAGTTATGAATGTAGGCAACTTGTTAACTGAACAATTGGTCAACTTGTCCTTCCTGGTTCGCATAAAATAAAAATCTAATGAACTCACTTGCCATGATATTAATCGTTGATGATTATTATCAGGAATTTTATCACCACAATTGTTTCCAATCGTTGATTAATGCTTAGTATGCATTTGTTATGGCATTTTTTAAAATGTTTTTAATGTTCAATATCGTCTGAACATTGAGCAAAATACGATTAATTTATACAGACTGCTAATTTAGCAATGTTCATTATTTCACTTTAATATGGTGTAGAGATTCACATACAAATTCAGAAAGTTTATCATAATGATGATAAATCGTGTTAAAGCTTATCTAAAAGTATTCTAAATATACTTTTTGATACACTAATGGCCTTAACATCTGCAAAGCAGGTTTCCACCTTGAACAACTCACCCCTATACATGGTGTCCACACCCTTTCGATGTGGGTTAGGCAATATAGCAAACTTCCGCTGATAGTGTTTTAGCATGTTATAGTCCGTTATATTTTGCCCCAGGAAAAGGGCGTTTACAGATATTAAATTTTTACGGCATAACGAATGAAATTCACGTTTTGTTAAAGAGCACTATAATTTGCGGTTTACTTAAGCCTAAGTACATTAAAGCTCAAAAGAACTGGTCCGAGTGGCTGCTATTTGCAATTAAATCAAAGACAGGTATTACAATTGCATCATTTGAAAAGTTATAAAATAGGTACCTACTTTTGTGAAATTAATTTAATTAATCAATATCATGTTCCTCGTTTCGAATTATTATTCCTACCAATTTCATGGCTGTTTTTAATTTTTAATTACAATATATTTAGAAAAAAGTTTAAAATACCACAAATCAAGTTTCTTCCGAGTATTCGTTAATTATAGTTATTCTAGCGAATAATGATAGGTGAATTCGTCTCATTGGGTGCGTCATAACTGAGAAACATTTAAAGGAATTATTTGAATTTTTAATACGACTTTTCAATAATTTAGTTTAAGTATGGAAATTATAAATAAAGACATTTGCTATGTAAAAATTGGTAAATATTTAAAATTCAATTTTGGCGTACGAGGTCGACTATATTAAAAGTTCTTTCTGCTTTTTTTGTTGGAACGAATAGTATGTTCCACTCTTTTGGTATAGATATTCCACTCTTCTAACCTATCTTAAAAATATGTTCGAAGGAAATTTTTAAACCTGGTCGCAAAATTATTAATTAGTTCTAATCAGAAATACAGACATAGCCTTTATAAAGTTAGAAGACTGAATAAATCGGCCGAAGGTTCAACGGTTCAACTACTCATATGTTGAAAACGGTTGGAAATGTGTGACTGAGGACTTTTTTTAAATTAGCATTATTGCTCATGCTTATTTAATCACATTTAATTAATAATGTCGCTTATATTAGTATCATGCTAGTGCTTAATTTGTTTAACGCCTAATAACTTACGTAAATTAATTTTCTCATATACTCTAAATGCTATTGCTTCAAATGAAAAATAGAATATACAATATGATGATAATTTAATCTTCTTATTTTACAAGACGCAGTAAAAATGTATTTACTAAACCATTTCCGTAAATCACATTTACTATGTTGGTAAATTAAACTTTTATCTACAAGCCAATACAAAACATTTCATCATCGCAAACAATTTGTACCAATTAACTTTACATTAGTTTTCAAAGGAGCAGCGTTAATTGCTTGTAAATTTAAAAATTACTGTCAAGCTTTAGTTTAACTTGCAGTTTCATTTGCGATTTAAATCATGTATAGAGTGAGTCGGTTTTCTGCAAAATTTCAATATTCGCACAAAACTGCCAGTGCAATAATAAATTTAAAAAACTAACTCTGATGGGAGATGGTTGAAAAGTTTATTCATTAATTTGAATTTTCGCAATACTTTCTTGATATTCTATACTCTACTACGAGTAGAGAAGTGCTAAGCATTTGATTTTTATTTAAACCTGCATGCAGCTAACCGCCTTTTATTTTCAAAATTTACTTTAAATCCCCAGGTATCGGTTTATTATTGTTCATTTAGACAAGACATTTAATTTGAGGCTTGAATAAAGATAGAAATTTTCCCTCGATTAACCTCTTAACAAATGTCTTAAGTGGCTTAAGTGATTAACTTACCCGTCCCGCAAAAATGAATCAATTGACTTGAAGAAAACAAACTCACTAAACGTTCCACTGCAGAATTTTATTTGATGACATGTCCTACTATGCAACAAAGTAACTATGCATTTTACAATCGATTTATACAACTTTTTGTCACATAACTCATTTTAAACACACCCTTCCATAAACATTACTTTCATGGTTTTATTGACACTTTCGTAATTATAGCCGGCATAGATAAAACCGCCACATTATCACCCCATTCCGTTATCTGGGCCACCACCTGATTAGTATAAAAAGGGTGAACGACTGAGTGCCCCGAATGCCGATGTCACAAACAGACACGAAGTATGGATTAATATTTTACATTTTCGATTTCTGTTGTCCAGTTTTTGTAAAGGGGTCAGCAACTAAATGTCTATGTAGGTTACGAAGAGAAAATGTAGTTTAAAAAATCGCTTTAAAATTCCCGCTGAGCACATAAATTATTGTTACTTTATATATTCATTTATCGAAAAAGTACTTGTATTGTAATTTATGTTACAAAAATTCAAGGATAGTTTTGTTGAAAACAAGAATCACAGCAACAACTGAAGCAGGATAAATGTATCGCTTTATATTACGCGTTTCAATATTAGCAAATAGTATACAACCTTTCTGTAAGTACAAGCAAAAACATATTTTTGTGACTCAATAAGATTCAATAATATAAAAATAGAAGAAAATAGAGAATGAAAATTATTTAGCATCAGGATTGAATAACAAACTGCTTTATAATTAATAAAGTTGCAAAGTACAAATTAAATTTTAGGTTAGCAAAATGATTTGCTTTAGTTTAGTAAAATCAACAAATAAGGCAATAAATAAGCAATTGCAGAACATGACGATCTCATTAATCAATCGTCATATTTCTTTATACTATATATTTGCAATTTTTCTTCTTTTCTTTAAACCACACAATGAAATTAAGCCTTAAAAAGCAGTATAATTCATTTTTTTGTTCAGACTATTATAGACTAGTTAAATGATATAATTTTAAAGGTAATGGTAGTAAAACTTTAAAATTTCATAGCAGGTGCTTATATAATTTTTATTTTAGCTTCTAATTTTGCTTCAATTTGTCAGTTGCCATTGACCTTTATGAAATTAAAATTAATTTTAAAATCCAGTCTTTGTCACAATTACTTATTGAACATTATTGATAGGATTATTTAATTCACAGTCATTTTAGTCATGAAAAGTAAAACTGAATTTATTTAGCTAACGTGATTTATCCAGTATCTCTCAACCTACTAGTTCAAGTTAATTTATTAGTTGAAATGCTACTTTCAAATATATTTTTTAAGTAAAAGACTTTGCGAATTGTTAAGGTGCAGAAACAAAATTCGCCATCTTTCGCTTTAGTAATTACATTTACATTTTTTACTTGGGTTTACTTCAGCTTTTGTAAAATGAGAAGCAGTGTTTTACAACCGATTGCTGATTACGTGGCCAAAAGTTTCCTTTTACAGGGTAAGGAACAACAGATGCAGGCGATAGCAAATTTGCTCAAAAATTTACACTCCGAATAAATAATAAATAAATATTTAGATTAATTACTAGAAAACATTAGTCCAGCTATTGCAAAAAAGATTCGCTAACCTGAACTTATATATGAGATAATAAGACTTATTTTCACACTAAATAATTTCAAGTTTGAAAAAGAGGAAAATGTATACAAATAGTTTTTAGTCAATTTTTAACAATTAAAAAATCCTAACATTGATGGACTTCTACTGTGATTATTACTTATGACGAATTATAGGCGGACAATTGTTTTGCAGCCACTGTGTATGTTAAAAATATGAGTCTAACGATTTGCTAAAAATAAAAAATAATGTGAATGTTGTGACTTCCCTACTAATGAACAATATTTAAATTAATTGATGTCACAACGGTTAAAGCCAGACACCAAACATCGATTGATAGCTCAAAAGATACAATCATCACTAACGAGTTTATTTATATATTATGATTTCGGTTAATATACGCAATGTCCCAAATCAATAGACAGTAGACACCATACATATATCTTTAACAATGTACATTATTCTAAAAAAATGTTTATTAAAATTGTTGTTTTAATACGGTTTTTTACCAACATATTTGTATATATTTACAAACTGTTGCCATTTTGCTAACTTAGTAAATACAACATAAAAATATAATAAAATATTTATAAAAGTGTAAGTACACTTGAAAAGATGTTAAAAAACGAAGTTTAAATTGAACTGAAATTGGTCGTGTTTTCCAAAGGTTTACACAATATATTAGGATCATATTATTTTTGCTAACATCGTATATTAGTTAATAAATTAATCAGGAAAACTAACTTTATTACGTGCTTTTCCGTGCTAATATTCTGTGTTCATATCATGTTTGAACGTTTTCCTTTACATACGCAAACATACATTTTTTCTGTACAAATTAAGCATATATTAAAACATTATCACTATATGAATCACTAAATACGAGAGTTTCAATTTATATTAAGAATATTCCTTCAGTTGCAAATTGCACACTTTTTAGGAATGCCTTCTAAAAGTAACTTCCATTGTTGCAATTTCTAATTAAAACTTTTGTAATTTAAGTTGCTTAAAACATACTTTTGGTTCCTTCTACTCGTTTGTTAAAATGTGCGTTTGTCACTGAAACGAGAAACTTTTACTTGAGCAGGCAGGTATTAAGGTTACTTTACTTTCAAGCTCGCATATCTCATTTTGGGGATAATTTTCCAACCAGGTGTGAACTATATGAATCATAAACAAATAAAGGTGCATGAATGATATCGCATTATTAACAATATTAGGGAATGTATTTGTTGATTTAAAGAAAAATACAGTACAAACACATAGCAGAATGTTATGCAGTCGAAGTCATTACGAGTTAGGTGTTTCAATAATTTTGCAAATGTTTAGTATTGTGTTAAAAATAAATGAAATCATATTTTTCCAATTAATGATTGACTTTCTTTAAATATCATACTTTTCTGGTAATATTCAAAAATGTTTAAGTAATTTGTTGTATTAACATAGGCTTAACTTATATTTATTCGAAATTAGTCCAATTTACCAAAACACAAAAATACTTATACATTAAATCTTATTTGTATAAAAGAATATAAAAACTTGCAACTCTTTGTAGACATTTTCTGAATAAAAAAATAAGACGTCTTTTTGGGCAAAAATCTCGCAATGTTTTTAACTTGGTTACCTAAAGGCACTTTTAGAAAATTTTATTGTTGAAAATGATTAATAAACGTTGCAACAATCAACTGAACTTAGTAAGTTAAAAAAAATATATCAGTTTTGAATCGGCATTAACCGGTGGTCGAAACGCATGGAAGATGCAAGTTAAGTTCAATAAGCTCTTAAAACTGCTGCCAGAAACAGAAAAGTTCAATAGCTACTCAATAACAAAAAAACTAGCAGGAACTTACCAAATTTAAGCCGACAAAACCGCTAATGTCTTGCTGAAGAAAATCTACCGCAAAATCGAGAAATCGTTTTGCCCGCAACGACAGAACCGCAACATTCAACACAACTGAATCTAGAACTAGAATCGAGAATCGAGACTTGTTGAGGTTCTTCGCTAAAACTCAGGAATCGGCGCACCATGGGCGCAGTGTTCTTTTAATCCGGATCCAAAACGATGGTAAACAACGTTAATATGTTGGTTTATTCCAGTGGCGGATGTTGATTTTGATATTGCAGATGCAGTATTCTATCCAGCATTAAATTGAAATGGTGGGTGTGGACACTTAAGTGGGCATAAGATCACTTTAAACCCATTAGGAAGACCCACTGAGACATAAAGAACGTGTGGAATTTTCTGGATAAACATTTACAAACAAATATTGAAAGACTGTTACTATATAAAACAAAATAAATCTTTAATAAATTAAAGAATGTACAGAAGCGAAAGAACGAAAAGAATTGTAAAGATAGGCGCCTTTTTGATTTGCAATATTTCATGTAGAAAATATATTCCTTAAATATTTCTTCAACATTTCTTATTTGCTAGCTAGGATAATCTATTGCTGTATATAGTTATCAGTGCTGTTTATTAAAAAAATGCTGCAATATATTTTGCAAACATATTTGGGGAAAGAAAATAGAGCTAACTTTTCCGCCTTATGATGCTTAGAGCAATGAAAATAATCTGAAATTAGGGAGTTTAAAAATGTCTCTATGCTATGCTCAAAGCGAAACGGTTAATGCTTTAGGTGAACTCTTGATTTTGAGAGGGTGCATTTGCTCACTTTTGAACTATTTGTATTCAAATAAACTATTTCATTTCGTTAGGTGTAGCAATTTTTTTGAATAGCTAGAATTTTGTATTTTATTATTTTATTTTCCCTCGCAATCTTTATTTTCTATTTGATTAGTACTAGTACTACTAAATTCATATTTATAATGTTTATATGAAATACACAACTTCAAGCTGAAATAACTCAACGAATGTCAGGATAGCGCCATAACGAAGTTCTGCGAAGACTATTTTTAAACATATTTTTTAATGTGTTAGTAGACACCAGACCAGAAAGTACAGGAGCCTAAAAACAATTTTTAAACTGTCAACAACAAGAGCCAAAACTGTTAAGAAGCTCATATTTCTTAATATTCCTCTTATTATAATAATAAGTTAAATTATTATTAAAAAATTGGAATAATAATTCTTCTGTAATATTTTTAAACTTATTTAAAACCCCCGCCTCTGCTGTTGAAAAGGGATTAACGGGACACGAGCTGCTGTTTATAAAATGTAAACTTGTATAGTTACTTAGATTAATAGTATGACGGCGGTTTAATTATTAATTACAACGCGATAATCAGACACAGTCCGGAATTAAGGGCATTGGTATGGAGGCACAATTATATTAAATCTGACAGGAATATCTACAATTTATTGTTTCGTCATTTCAAGCATAAGTTATCGACTTATTCTATGCAAAATGGATTAAGAACGTCAAGATTATGAGGAAAGGAGAGCAGTTGTACTGTTTTAATATACTGTTTTGTATCAAGTAATTATTTCGCTGTTTTGAATTAGAATTTAAAAAATATAGTATATATAACATCTAGTTCCTTTGTGGTTGAATCGATATACCCTTCAGTTACAACTAAAATATTTTTTTTACGCAAAGTTTATCCTATTTTTCAAATACTAGTGTCCCCAAAATTCTTATTTTGAATACACACACACACATCATCTAACACACATTAAGAGAAACTAAACTAAACCGTTATAACAATATATTGATATTACCAGTGCATTCACATGGAGAATATAAATTATTCAAGTTTTACTTATGTAAACAGCTTAATATATTTTGAAAATTTTTAATTAAATGTGTATCTGAGCGATGCTCTATTTTTACTAAAATGCTTTGTTACCCGGTAATTTACGCGTAATGCATCCTAGCCCTGTACGTAATTTCCACGTTGCATAGTCGTTTAAAAAAATAGTAACAGGATTCATTAATTAATGAAAAAAAAGAAGAATGAGACATGAAACATTAAATAGTATTTAATAGTAAATGGAATGACAAAGAAGAGAGAATTAGTTGCTGAAATTAAACCCTATAACAACAAAATGCTTATTTTCAAAGAAATGTGAAACATTGAAACATTAGACTAAAAGGCATTAAAAGCTGTGGAACAGTTTTTTATACAGTTTCTTGAATTATTTCAATGATCTGCGCTAGTGTACATTAACTAAATCAAAAATACAGAGATCTTAATTGAATATGACAAAATAGTAACTAAAGAAAAACAATATGTATGAATGCACGCTAGATTAGAAAAGAATCAGGCAAATATTTGGATCTAACAAAAAATAATGTCAATGATCTTTGAATAGGAAGCTTAAAAAAATGTAAATACTAAGCAACTCACGAAGACTGAAAAGAATCGCATAGTAACGAATTATATAGATTAAGTAATTTTATTTTATATTTTTTGTAAGCAACAAATATTAATACTGCGAACATTTACCTAAAGAGAAGCGTTTTGGATCTTGATTTAATTTTCATCATTGTCATTCCCAAAATGGTAAACAAAATTGTCTTTCACGAGCCGGTCCGAGCAATTTTTACAGCCTCAAGATCATTTACATGACCCGATTACAACGGCTGATGCCAAGGCTCTTTCACTTAACTACCACATGTTGTTGCTTGTACTGAATCCAATTGATTGGCACTGAGGAAAAATCTATTTTATTCGATCAAATTCCACTTGTTTTAGAAAAGAATTAACCGCATTTTAAACCTAAAAAATCTAATTGAAACTACAGCGCTGATGTTCAGAATCGATTCTTCAGTATGTGAATGTTTTATGCAAAAATAAATAGCTTTGTGATCTGAATCTAAAACCTACTTACCGTCCATTCAGAAAGATAAAGATCTAAATGAAATCAACATTTAAAATTTTAGAAATTTCTGGTAACTTATTGAATACTGTTCAGGGTATTCGGCAGAAAAAACCTGAAATTTTACATAATTATTCATTTTATATGGTAATAAGTTGGCATTAATCCAAGCTTTAATTTTTTGTTCTCTTGATACTTTACAGTTTCATGAGATTAGCACACAAAAACGTTTAATTTGATTTCTCAGGATTTTTAAATTCGAAATAAGAAATGTAGGATTTTTTTCGATTTTGCCGAAATCTTTTGATTTACCAATGCATGCCTTCTAGGTAGAATTATATGGCCACTTATGCCGACTATTCTTATAACTTAAGACGTAGTATCGTTGCTGCTAGATAATTTAACTATAAAAGAAGCCTCAGCAGAAACGAGAATTCAGTCATTAGATGTTTGGTCAGAAGTCATAAGAATTAAGTTTAAAGATAGTCAGTCTACGATTGGGTTCGGTCACATATATTTAAAATCCATATTATAAAATTTGTATTAATTTTGAAATAAAAGTGTTTTTAAAAACCCAAGTTTCAAATTAGTCAATAAAATTGTAGTGCAGGAACATAAATAGAAAAAGGCTCGTTCGCCATTATATCAGTAACTGTTTTAATAAATTTCCGGAAGTTAAACATTTTGTTTCTGCAACACTCATCTAGATATTTTAGTTCAGTCTTTTCTCAGGAAATTGTAATCGTAAGTTTTCTTCAGTTATATCTTTCACCACTTTTTACTTGCCGCTTTTTCAGTCTTTATTGATTTTTTTCGTCTCTGCAAACCTAAATATAGTCAATTTGTTAAAAATTGGATGG